TGAGTGGCAGCAGCTGTGCGACGCTATGCGGAAAGAAGGAACAAGGTTAAGGGGCGGAAAAGGGGGAATGAGTGTGCACCCACTAAGCAGGTGGCCATCGCCTGCTGCTACTGCTTCATCTCGTACCTGAGCTTTAGCAAGCTGTGTTTAGTGTCAGTCGAGTGCAAGGGAGCAAAAAGTCAAATGTGCTTTTCCGCTTTGGAGTGGGCTGGCTACTGCCGCTGCTGCTGCGCCTGGATTTGCTATGCTGGTAGCTCTGCTTTTCGGCTCTGTGTACCGCCACCCAGAGGAATATGCGTTTATAAGGCCAAAAAAGGTTGTATCTGTTAGCTAGTAGCGTGATAATGGTGAGTAAGGAGAGCTGAGGTAGAGTCGGCAGCGAGAACGGCGGAAGCAGAAACAAGTGACGCTGAAGGTACTCGCTCCCTCCTAATATGACAAAAGCAATAAGAAGCAGCTGAAGCACGGGGGGTGTACAATGCGATGTGTAGCAGGTACAGAATCGACGGCGATGCCTAAGAGAAGGGTAGTGACAGGGGCGGATGAGCTGCCCGTGTGGCACTCGCTCTGTTAATAGAAAGTAGAGGCAGACAGGTCATAAACCGTAACTCGATTGTGAGCACCAAACAATCTTTTGGTGCAACAAGGCAAATGAGTGACTACGCGAGCAAAGGGAAAATTCGATTTGCATGACGGCAGTGGTGGTCACCATCTAATCGAAGAAACAAGGGACATCTGGCTAAGAATGAGGTGGCGTATGAGCAAGCAGTACGTAGACGGCGGACTTTAACAGCAAGGATGTGTGTGTGTGTGTGTGTGTGTGTATGTGCTTTAATGCGCAGGTATAATTACCTTATATCCGTGTATATTTCACAGGCCTGCTATTGTTCAGCGCGCCCAATAGGGCAGACGTATTTTGGCTCTGCACAAGCTGGGGTGGCGTTGGTATGTCGGCCTAGGATCTGCCGAGCTTGAGAGTGCCGAGGCAGGCGGATGGTGGCGGCAGCAACGGTGGCAATGTGGAAGGCAGGCAGGAAGCAATATGCGCAATGTGTGGGCAACAAGAAAAAGAAAAGAGTCGGAAATACGTGTTGGATGAGTAATGAGAAGAGAAAAGCGATGGGCAGGAATGAGGGAGGCGAGGGGCTCAAAACCAGCGATGACGGCGCAGCTGGTATTAAATGGACTGATGTCCTTGTCCACCAAGATTGTGCCTCGGAAACCTTTTGCTGTCGGCAATGGGGGCAAGGGAGGGGGTCCAAGCTGAGGGAGGAAGGGGGCAATGCAGGATACGGTAAACAACCACCGATCAGCCCCCACCTACCACGTGTGTGTGCAGCGGCAGCGGCAAAGTCACTAACCTTTTGCCTCCATTTCGGCGGGCAGCAACAACAGGCAGAGCTGCCTCCTGCACGCCAACATGGCGCGGTGGCAATGTCAGCGGCAGCGTCAGTTTCAATGGCAGCACACGCACAATCACATTTTTATATTTTGCCTACACTTTCTCTATTGAAGAATTAGCCGTGACTGTGCCCATGCTGAAGAAAGGCGCAAGCCAAACGCCTAATTGTGCTGCTGGCACATCCGTGGCCAATCCGTACAACGCTGGCCCTGTAGCAGCACCAGAGCACCACAAGAGCGCCAGCAAAATGGGGAAGAGCGGTGAAACTGTTGCGGATTGGCATTACTGCCAACCTCCTTCACTCCAATACATATTTTACTGGAGCGAGGGAGGGACGAGAGGTACCACAGCCTCGGTTGAATTTTGCTTAGGTTGTTTCGTTTGCACCCAACACTTTTCGTCTCCTGCCTTTTCCGGCTAAACATTCAATGGCAGCCAAGGTTTTTTGCAGCATGCTGGCTCACAGGCGGCGTAACCTTGGGGCCACCCTTGGCCGCACTGTAGACCTTTGCAACAGGCAATGAACCTGAATATAACAATGTGGCTTTGTACAAGAAGGTATATACATGCGTATGGCAGCAGCAGATGCTGTGTGCTGCTTATTGCCCAGGCACAACTGACAATAGTGCTAAATAAGCCGCCAGCGAAGCGGAAGAACAAACCCTAGAGCGTGCTCTGTTTTGTAGCTGCTGCTGCTGTTGCTGAATCAGGGTGTGACCTCTAATTGCAGCATTGTCACCGCTGACACGACATGAAGGATGAATGCATAAAGTAGCGAGGAGAGCGGTACACCTGGCACTGGTGCTCCTGCTGCCACTACTCGATGCTAGTGCGGATGGAGAAATAGTGTGCAACAATGGAAATAAGGTGTTGAGAGGGCAGCCGCTTGCCTCTGGCTTTGTCCATACTCGGCGATTGTGGTGATGGTGGTGGTGTGAGTGGCTTGCTTACATTGAATTGCGTGTGAGAACGGAAGGATGCTGCACCTGCCCCTCCCCCTTCCTTCTTCCTCCTCCCCTCTACGTGCTCTTGCCCATTCCCACCCCTCGCTTGGTGTGGATAAATACGTTCTGTAGAGAAGCAAATTTCCAATATTAGCCGAAGCCAAACAGTTCCCAACGAGGTTTGGCACTCGCGGAATGGTTGTGCGAATGGACTCGCAGCACGCCATCACTCAAACAAACACCAGACAGGCATTGCTACTGTGTGCACCTGCACTATAGCTGGCCGCATTGCTGGTTTCTAACAGCGCAGCACCAGCACGGATGATATCAGGATGGCAAAGGGTTCCATAAATGTGTGACTGAACGCCCCTTCTAATAAAAGGGCAGAATAGCGACATATTGTCTATTGTAAAAACATGATTTTTGCAGACAAAAAGCTAATATATGCTATAAATGCGACAGAAACAAGTAGAAAACAGAAAGGGGGTGGTTACAAGAGCCCGTTTGTTCACTTGCGGTACATGTCCTTGCGATGCTTGGGAAGCTCCTGGCGGTTACGCACCATCCAAGCGATGCCGCACGCATTGCAAAGAGTCTTGGGGCCATTGGGGCCTTGCCGTGGAATAGGCGTGCCACTGCTATCGCAGCCGCAGTGCTCGCACTCCCAGTTGCTCAAGTCAACCTTGGCGTATGTGCGGGGTGTTGTTGGTGTGCGTGGTGTCGAGCTTTGGAGAGGTGCTGCTTGCACGCGGATGTTTGAGTGCGATGGCGCCCCGAAGCTTTGTGGTGTACTGGCTCCGCTGCTAGCGGCATCAGCGGACCCCGAGGAGAGCTGGGCGTATATGACTGGGTTGATGCTTGGTGCCATCACAGTCGGCGCAATGCCTGGCTCGTGCGGCAGCGCCTCTGGCGGCAAAAAGTTGAACGACCGTGTGTGGCCACGCTCTGAACGCCGCATACGGCGGTAGCTGCGCTCCTTGTGCATCCACATCCGATCGAGCTCCTCAGCCGACAATACCTCAATACTCGGACCCCACGAGTCCACCAAGTCAATCGGACGGAATATCGAGTCAACAGGCTGCTGCCGGAGCCAGTGTGCGTCGCCAGCCTCTACGAGCTCCTTTTGAAGTCTTGCGATTTCCTCGCGCACGCGATGGGCGACCAGCGGCGGATACTCGCCGCCAAGACCCAAATCTCTGCACAGGCAGCGAGCAAACTCCTCGGGCTTTGAGCCCAGGGGCTCGAGGATGTCCCACTCAACTTTGTCGCGCAGCACGTGTGTGCCAACCTGTATCTCGAGGCAGAGAACAACACGCAACTCGTCGCCGCTAAAGTCGGCTGCATCGACAGAGACATACTCAGCAATTTGCTGCCGAATAAGCTGCGCTATGTGGTGCTGCGCACTCGACTTCCCCTCTGCTGGTAGAGACAGGTCTGCGCAATATATGGCGGCAAACTGCTCCGGCGTGATGATTCTCTCCTTTGCGTTCCACACAAACACGTCATGCAGCCTATAGTCGCCCACTTCGAGCTCAACCCGGATAGGCACCAGAAGCTCCTCCTGCTGTGCCAGCCACTTAGCCTGGTCGTCGCGCAGGTGCCAGTGCGCAGTGCGGCGGCGTGGTCGTCTGGGCAAGCTTTCGTATGCTGGCTGTGTGCCTATCCCGCTCATCGGCTCAGCCTCTTTGGGCTGCTGCTCATCCCCAGCCTCGCTGCCCTGTCTAGCTGAGCTTACCTCGGTCTCCAATGCTGATTCCGCGTCGTTTTCAGCACCATACTCGTTTTCCGAATCCGAGCTCCATTCGCGCAGATTCCTTCTGCTGCCCCGTGTTGACCGCGTCCGTGTCAGCCGCCCACTGCTAGTCATTATCGTGCCTCCACCAAGACCGCCTGCACTGCCTGTGCCGCCTGCGCCGCTGCCCGAGCCCAGCGTAGAGAGCGCAAGCATGGCTGTGTCGCCCTCTTTGAGCCTCTCCAAGTATGCGCTGCCAAACAGGCCCATCCTCCTGAGCTGCTGCGCATTTGCAATCTGGCCTTGATTCATTGCTTCTCCCTTCCGTGCAAAATGGCGCCAATAAAATAGCGTGGTAATGAAAAAGTGCAATGTGAAACTAGCGAAAACAATAAAATAAAAAAACGCGACAAAGGAGTATCGAGTGGCCAGAGGTGAAATCATAGGCTGATTACTGCTTGTGCCACTTGCCCCCACCAGCGAGCCTCAAGACTTTTTCCTGGTGCACTGGGTTGCTTTCGTCTATCTAATCTACATCCACCCGCGTCCCTCAGCAGGCACATTTCCTCGCGGCAGCTGCTGTGTTACTAGCAGCATGCGCCATTCCTTGGTGCAAGCCAGCATTTCTTTGTGCAAGAAGGATCTATCTGTTACTGCACCACATCTCCAATGCAAGAGATCTAGCAGACCAAGCAGCCCCCGCAAGCAAGAATGGAACTCGTCATCACAATATGCGAGCAAGACACCCAGCGCATGCCCTCTCTACCACATGCGGAACCCAGGTTGAAATCAGTGATGCTTGGCATCTGCGGGCGCCAGAGATGCGAGACGAACGAGAAACAAAGCAACAGTATGTCCACTTGTGTACATGTCTCTAGAGCTTGGCGTTCAGAAGGACCAATCAGATCTGGATTGGCTGTCTGGGGATCTAGCTCAATCGGTAGAGCACTAGCTTTGCATGTTAGAGGCACGGGGATCGAAACCCCGGATCTCCACTTTTTGCTTTTTGGCTGCTTGTTTCTGCAGAGCGAGTGGCTGCCCTCTACTTGCTCTCTGGCCGCAGGCCTGTTTGGCAGCAGCAGAGCTGCGGTAGCTGGTCTCGCACATTTTTTGTTGCCCTACCTCCCCTTCTTCTCTCAACACAAAACTCCTCTATTCTACAGCGAGCTCATACGCACAAAAAGGTACGTATTCGTTTTTCTTTCGTTCTATCGCAAAGGTATTTGACAGCCCGCTCTCTTCCCTCGTGTGCTCGCAAAAATTTTTCTTGCTACTGAGCTGATCTTTGACATTTCTGGTTGCCAACGTAGAAAGCAAGGAGAGCACGTACACCACATAGCCGTACCAACACTATCAGACCGCAGGCGTGGGTGAATACAGAACGGAAAGACGTCGCCCCGAATTATCCATTTGAATTTCTGAACGATGAGCGAAACGGAAGCAGCAGGGGCAAGCAGCGAGTTCTCCTGGGCGTCGTTCACAGAGGTGCTGAGCGACAGGATTACGACCTCGCGTGTCAACGAGCGTCGTGCCTTGTTTGAAGCAGAGCTGCTGCCATACATTGCCGCTCACCCACTCGAGGACAAGGAGCTGGTGGGGCTCATTTGCGCATTGACACTGACCATTGATCGCTATATCGACAGGGAGTCCCGTGCTCTTGTTCTGAAGGTGCTTAGGGAGCTTAGCGCAAGGAAAGGCAGTGTCTTTGTCAAGGTCATCGCTGGCGTCTTGGATCCTGTCGTGGAGAGCGCACAGCCCAAGTCGATCAGCCACCCGGACTCGATCGCGACAGCGGTGGCCTCGAGATTTGTCCTGCTCTCCTGGGTCGATCTGGCTCTTACCACCCCAATTAACGAGCTGGGTGTTGCGCCAGAGTCTCTGGCCGATGATCTTGCGTGGAAGAAGCTGGTCTTGCTTGCGGCTAGGCTTTTGTGGGGGATCGCGCCTGCGCATGAGAAGACGGGCGATTCGAAGGCCCTGTCGGTGTCCAGCAGCGCACACCGCGAGTTCTGGCGCACTCTGCGCGGCTGCCCCGCAGCTATTGGACCGATGCTCAGCATCCTGACCTCGGCAGCAAGCGGTGGCGAGGCTGCTGTGATGATTGGCAACATCGTTGGAACTGCGATCCGCCTGTCGAAAAAGAAGGGCAAGGGCGGCGATGGCGGGCAGTCGCTGCAAGAGGTGGTCAAGGCAAAGGATGCGATTGTCGGGTATATCGACCGGGTTCTCATAAACTCCAAGCAGCCAATCTCATACTCCAGCATTGCGGATCTGTCCGAGTTTTTGCGCGAGTTTGTGGGCAGTGACTTTGAGGCTTTGTTCAAGCCATCGATCACAAAGATGCTCTTGCGCTCGCCCGAGGCCGTGCTCCCTACCTGCCTCTGGCTGCTGCAGGCATTGGGCAAGGATAGCGTCGATATGACGGCCATTTACTTGGATGTGTTTGCCGATACACTGGCGTCGAATCTGCTGAAGAGCTCGAATGCCGCCGTGCGCAGCTCTGCGTGCAGCCTGTTTGCATTCCTCTCTAGCGTGCCACGCACCGAGGAGGCTGCCACCAAGGCTGCCGAGATTGCGACCAAGCCCCTTGTGCTTGGCCGCTTTGCTCAGGCTGAGCACCGCGTTGACTTTTACCGCTTGCTTGCGAACGTGCATGCTGGTGCTGGCAACGGCTGGCCATCGTCTGTTGCCATTATGCCGGCGCTGCTCAAAATGGCGGCCAAGGAAACCCAGGAAGCACCGGTTGCAGCACTGTTCTCTGCTATCGGCAGGCACTTCTCCGCTCTCATCGAGCACCTGCTGACCGTTGGGCCCGCTTCTGGCGAGGGCTACCAAACGTGCGAGGAGGCGATCAAGTTGTTTACCGACGCTGCCTTGAAGGGACTGGCACTCCCCGACAAGTCGGCGCTTGTCAGACAGGGCTGGGCTGCTGACGCCGTTGGTGAGCCGCTGTGGAACGCTGCTGCCACTGCCCTTGGCGCTGAGGGCCACCCATGGGTTGCCACGTATATCCACCCGCTCCTTCAGGCACTTGCCGCGACAGCCGAAAAGGCAACTGCTAGCCCGCTTACTACTGGCGGCAGCACTCTTGACGCGCATGTCGGTCTGGCTCTAGCACTCCGTTGCGTGGCTCCTGTGGCAAAGGTCGATGCCGGCAAGCTTGTGTCCCTGGTTACCGGCACCGAAAAGTCGCTCCTTCTGTGGGACAAGGTTTACCACAAGTGCACCACACCCAGGGAGTGCACGTGGATCCTGCGCTCAGTCGAGATGCTCTTCTCCAAGGGCTGCGACGACCCTCGCCAGGCCAGTCTTTTGGCCTGGGCGCTCTGCCGCTTCCCCGAGCCCACCTTTGAGGTTACACGAAACACCCTCGGTGTGCTTCGTGCCATGAGCACGGTGGATGCCGACAGACTGTGGACAATGCTCGAGCCAAAGCTCTTTGCTGAGATGACTGCATCTCTGAACAGCGAATCTACTCATTTCAAGTGGACGAGTATTCTGAGCACGTTGGCATTGGGTGCTGAAGCCAGCGATGTGGGTGTACCTGCAAAGATGCGTCTGTTGGTTTCCATGGCGCTTGCTGCGCACCACCCAGCTCTCGTTCGCGAGGCTGGCAAGGAGAGCTTCTGGATCGCGCTGATCCAGAGGTCACATGCCGACCCTGGAGAGCTGTGCCACGAAAACCTCTCGTCGCTCAAGCAGGTAATCCACGGTGCAATGGCTGGCGCCCCAGGCTCCGACCCGGCTGCGTTCGAGGCTGCCACCAACCTCATCAAAGACCTGGTGTTTATTGGCAGCGATAGCGTTGCAATGCGGCTCCTCGAGTTCGCTCGCGACGACATTGATCCTGAGCACCTGGCGGCGATCTCGCCGGAGGATATTAATGTGTGGAGGACGCCTACCGACCAGCTGTACAGCGACCCGGTTCTTGTCAAGGAGCAGTCGCAGGGATCTCGCGGTGGCTCGAAGAAAAAGAGCGACGACTGGGAGGCGCAGCTGCGTGAGGAGATTGCTCGCAAGAACAACCAGACGCGCAAGCTGACCAAGGAGGAGCAGGAGCTTGTCGACAAGCAGTGGGCGAAGGAGAACGCCATTCGTGAGAGAGTGGCAAAAGCCCACGATGGCCTGCACCGCGGACTGGCTGTCGTTCGGGCTGTCGTTGACGGAAGCGCCAATGTTGCTAGCACCTGCATGCTGGAGCTCGTTCGAATCGTGGTTGAGCGTGCCATCATCGGCGGCTCCAGGGCTAGCGAGCAGCTTGCTGGCTCCGAGGTGCTGAGCACCCTGCTGTCGATGAGCAGGGCTGCTGACGGGCTGGAGGAGACTTTGCGTGTGCCTATTGCCATGGGTCTTTTGCGTGCGCGCGGATTCGAGAGCGTTGTGCCCGAGGGATGGAAGTACGAGTCAATGGAAAGCCTGGCGACTCGCCTGTACTTCCGCCTGCGTGTCAGCTGTGAGCACGCGCTTCTGCCCTCTGCCGGATTCAACTTCCTGTTCCCCTTCATGCAGGCAACTGCCGACCAAGACGGCTGGGGCCGCAAGGTCAAAAAGGGCATTGAGGAGCACGACGAGTATGCTCAGATGGATCATGCCGCTGAGCAGCTCACGATGGTTGTGGATATCCTCTCGTTCCACGCCCACTTTGGCAACGTTGCCGAGATGCCGCGCAAGGAGATGATCGAGCTGATGGTCTTCCTCATGTCAAACCAGCCCTTGCTTCTCACCGCTTGCCGCAACAGCCTGGTGAAGATGGCCGAGGAGATGGAGGGCACTGATACGCCATTGGAGCGCGATGCGCTTCTCGACGGCCTGACCCGCCCTGACAGCGTGGTTCGCGGTGCTTGCCTTGCTGCCCTCGACTACGTTGATTTGACCGAGCTGGACTACTCTGAAAAGCTGTGGATCAACGTCGGTGGCAGCGGGTCAGACTCTGTTGCCCTCGAGGAAAACGCCAAGCTTGCTAACACCTTGTGGGCTGAGAACGGCATGGAGGTTCTGCCTGGGCTTATTCTGGGCATCGTATCTTACCTGAACCACTCTGCGTCCGAGATCCGCGCTTGCGCTGCTCGCTCCATCGGCCTTGCCATCCAGGAGCGGCTGGACCTTGCGCAGGACGATGAGGAGACCGATGTCTCGCTCGCTGACGTCCAAGCGGAGATCGATGGCGTGCTCCAGGCGCTGCAAGACACCTACCGCAAGTGGTACATCTCGCTTGATCCCGAGTATGACGAGTTTGGTATCGTCATTCCCGGCACGCAGCACCGTGTCGACATTTCCGAGTCTCGTGTCGCCATTGCCGACTCCTTCCTCTACTTGGCCCCCCTGCTTATGACGGCCAGCCAAGTGAACAACCTGATTGGGTTCTTGGTCCGCAACCGTGCCCTTGGCGAGCGCTCAGAGTCTGTGCGCACACACATGCTGTCGGCTGGTGCTCAGGCGGTTGCCACCCACGGGTCAAAGTGGTCAAGCGAGCTGCTGCCCATCTTGGAGGACTTTTTGTCAGAGCCCGACGAGGGAACCGAGTCTTACGACTATATTCGCGAGGGAGTCGTGGTCTTGCTTGGTCGCCTTGCTCAGCACCTGCCTGCTGGCGAGGAGGAGCGCGTTGCCGATGCTGTTGACCAGCTGATTGCTACTCTTTCTACGCCCTCAGAGTCTGTCCAGAGCGCCGTTAGCGAGTGCCTGCCGCCGCTGGCGAAGCGTGTCTCCGAGGACAAGTTTGGCCAGGTCATTGGCGCAATCATGGACACCACTCTCAACGGCGAAAAGTACTCCCAGCGCCGCGGTGCTGCCTACGGCCTTTCTGGCTTGGTCAAGGGCCGCGGTCTCGCTGCACTCAAGAAGTACCAGGTTGTGGACCAGCTGCGCGAGGCGTGCGCCAACTCAAAGGCGTTCCAGCAGCGCCAGGGCGCGCTGTTTGCCTTTGAGACGCTTTCGGGCAAGATGGGTCGCCTGTTTGAGCCGTACATCATCCAGTTCATCCCGATCCTCCTTC